TGAGGCGGGTGGATCACCTGAGGTCAGGAGTTTGAGACCAGCCTGACCAACATGGAGAAACCCCGTCTCTACTAAAAATACAAAATTAGGCGTGGTGGTCCATGCCTGTAATCCCAGCTAACTGGGAGGCTGAGGCAGGAGAATCTCTTAAACCCGGGAGGCGGAGGTTGCAATGAGCCAAGACTGTGCTAGCTTGGGCGACAAGAGTGAAACTCCGTTTCAAAGAAAAAAAAAACAACCAAGACCCAACTATATGCTGCCTACAAGAAACCCACTTTACCTATAAAGACACTTAGACGGAAAGTGAAGGCATGGAAAAAGATATTCATTGCAAGTGGAAATGAAAAGAGAGCAAGATAAACTATACTTAGATCAGAGAAGGTCATTATATAATGATAAAGGGGTCAATTCATCAAGAGTAACAATTATAAATATCTACCCAACACCAGAACATCCAAGTATATAAAACAAACATTAATAGATCTAAAGGGAAAGATAGACTGCAATACAGTAATACAATACTGCAATACATAGGGAATTCAACACCCTACTGTTAGTAATGGACAGATCATTCAGACAGAAGACAAACGTCATAGTCAAACTGCACACTAGACCAAACAGACCTAACTATATTTACAGAAGAGTTCACCCAAGTGCTACAGAAAAGACATTATTTTCATCAGCATGTGCAATATTCTCCAGAATAGAGCAAATTATAAGCCACAAAGCTAGTCACAACAAATTCAAAAAAGCAGAAATCGTATATATCTTTTCTGACCACAATAAAATAAAATTAGAAATCAATAACAAGAGGAACCTCAGAAACTACACAAACACATGAAAATTAAACAACATAATCATGAACAACAAATGCATCAGAGAAAAAATTATAAAGGACAATTTTTAATTTCTTGAAACAAATGAAAATGGAAATACACATCCAAAATCTATGGGATACAGTAAAAAGAGTAATACAGTAAAGGGGAAGGTTGTAGCAATAAATGCTTACATCAAAAAAATAGGAAGATTTCAAATAACCTAATGATGCACCCAAATGCACTTAAAAGGCAGTAACAAACCAAACCCCCAATTAGTACTAGGAAGCAAACAATAAAGATCAGAGCAGAAATAAATGAAATTGAGCCTAAAAAATACAGAAGGTCAATGAAGCAAAAAGTTGATTTTTTGATAAGATAAAATCAATGAACCTTTAGCTAGACTAAGAAAAAGAGATGACCCAAATAAATAAAATCAGAAAGAAAATGGAGACATAACAACTGGAAACTACAGAAATATAGAGAATCATTAGACACTGTTATGAACAACTACACACCAACAAATCTGAAAACCTAGAAGAAATAGATAAATTCCTGGATACATGCAATCTACCAAGATTGAACCATGAAGAAATAGAAAACCTCAACAAACCAGTAACAACAAGATCACAACTGTAATAAAAAGTCTTCTGCCAAAGAAAATCTCAGGACCTGATGGCTTCAATTCTAAATTCTACCAAAAATTTAAAGAATAACTGATACCAATTCTACTCAAACTCTTCAAAAAAATTTGAAGAGGAGAGAAAACTTCCAAACTCATTCTGTGAGGCCAGAATTGCCCTGATAGCAAAACCAGACAAGGACACAACAAAATGAGAAAACTAGGCCAATATCCTTGATGGACATAAATGCAAAAGTCCTAAACAAAATACTAACAAACCAACTTCAACAACACATCAAAAAGATCATTCACTATGTGGGATTCATCCCAGGGATGTAAAAAGGGTTCATCATATGTAAAGCAATATATGTGGTTCATCAAATCATTAACAGAACCAAGAACAAAAACCGTATAATAATTCCAATAGATGCTGAAAAACCATTCAATAAAATTTGAATTCCTTTATGATAAAAAACCTTCAAAACACTGGGAATAGAAGGAACATACCTCAAAACAATAAAATCCATGTATAACCCACAGCAAACATCATAGTGAATGGGGAAAATTTCAAAGCCTTCCCTCAAAGATCTCAAATAAGACAAGGATGGCTGCTTTTACCACGTTAATTCAAAGACCCCACCAAAAAACTGTTAGAACTGATAAATGAAATCAGTAAAGTTGCAGGATACAAAAGCAACATACAAAAACCAGTAGCATATGTATATACCAACAGCAGACAATCTGAAAAAGAAACCAAGAAAGCAATCCCATTTACAATAGCTACAAAGAATATAAAATATGTAGAATTCGATTTAACCAAAGATGTGAAAGCTCTCTACAAGGAAAACTATGATACACTGATGAAAGAAATTGAAGAGGACACACACACACAAATGGAAAGATATTCCATGCCATGCTGATGGATTGGAAGAATTAATACTGTTAAAATGTTAATAGTGCCCAAGGCAATTTACAGATTCAGTGCAATACCTGTCGAAATACCAGTGACATTCTTCACAGAAACAGAAAATATAATTTTTGAATTCCCTTTATGATAAAAAACCTTCAAAACACTGGGAATAGAAGGAACATACCTCAAAACAATAAAATCCATGTATAACCCACAGCAAACATCATAGTGAATGGGGAAAATTTCAAAGCCTTCCCTCAAAGATCTCGAATAAGACAAGGATGGCTGCTTTTACCACGTTAATGTATATGGAACCACAGAAGACCCCAAATAACCAAAACCATAGTAAGCAAAAATAACAAACCTGGAGGAATCACACGACCTGACTTCAAATTATACTACAAAGCTATAGTGATCAAAACAGCAAAATACTAGCATAAAAACAGACATATAGAATAGCGAACCCAGATGTAAATCCACACATTTATAGCCAGCTCATTTTCAACAAGGGTGCCAAGAACATACAATGGTGAAAGGACATTCTCTACAATAAATGGTGGTGGTTAAACTGAATAACCATATGCAGAAGAATGAAACTACACCCCTATTTCTCACCATATACAAACACAAAATCAAAATAGATGAAAGGCACAACTCTAAGACCTGATACTATGAAACTGTCAGAAGAACACTGGGGAAATGGTCCAGGATATTGGTCTGAGCAAAGGTTTTTTGTGTAAGACCTCAAAAGCATAGGCAACAAAAGCAAAAATAGATAAATGAGATCACATCAAGCAAAGAAGCTTCTGCAAAGCAAAGGAAACAATCAACAAAGTGAAGAGACAACCCACAGAGTGGGAGAAAATATTTGCAAACTATCCCTCCGACAAGGGATTAATAACCAGAATATATAAGGAGCTCAAACAACTCAAAAGCAAAAAGAAAATCTGATTTTTAAATAGGCAAAAGATCTGAGTAGACATTTCTCCAAAAAAAGACATAAAAATGGCCAATGGGTATATGAAAAAGGTGCTCAATATCAGTAATCATCGGGGAAATGCAAATCATAAAATCATAATAAGATTTCATCTCACCCCAGTTAGAATGGGGACTATAAAAAAAAAAAAAAAAAAAGGGAGGCTGGATGCAGTGGCTCACGTCAGTAATCCCAGCACTTTGGGGGGCCAAGGCAGGTGGATCACCTGATGTCAGGAGTTCGAAACCAGCCTGGCCAATGTGCTGAAACCCAGTCTCTACTAAAAATACAAAAATTAGCCAGGTGTAGTGGCGGGTGCCTGTAATCCTAGCTACTCAGGGAGGCTGAGGCACCAGAATCGCTTGAACCTGGGAGGCAGAGGTTGTAGTGAGCCAAGATCGTGCCACCACACTCCAGCCTGGGCGACAGAGGGAGACTCCGTCTCAAAAAAACCAAAACACTAAAAAGAGAATAATGAGGCGAGGATGTAGAGAAGGGGGAATGTTCATATACTGCTGGTATGAATGTAAATTAGCACAGCCACTATGGAAAACAGTATGGAGGTTCCTGAAAAAACAAAAATAGAACTACCAGATGATCCAACAATCCCACTACTATGTATATATGCAAAAGAGAGGAAATCAATATATTGAAGAGTTATCTGCACTCCCATGTTTATTGCAGCAATATTCACAATAGCCAAAATATGCAGTCGACTTAAGTGCCCATGAATGGATGAATAAAGAAAATGTGGTGTATGTACACAAGGGAATATTATTCATTAATTAAAATGATTAAAATCTGTCATTTGTGGCAACATGGATAGAACTGGAGATCATTATGTTAAGTGAAATAAGCCCCCAAGCAAAGAACAACAAATAGCACATGTTCTTACTCATATGTGGGAACTTAAAAAAATGGATCTCGTGAAGGTAGAGAGTAGATTGGTGATTACCAGAGGCCAGGAAGTGGAGAGAGAGGGATGAAGAGAGGTTGATTAATAGGTACAATCTACAGATAGAAGAAATCAGACCTGGTATTCAAGAGATCAGTAGGGTGACTATAGTTAACATTAATCTATTGTACATGTCAAAATAGCTAGAAGAAAATAATTTGGATATCCATAGCATAAAGAAACGATAAATATTTAAGGTGATGGATATCCCAATTACCCTGATTTAATTATATGTATGTATCAAATTATCTCATGTACTCTGAAAATATGCACATCTATATATCAATTTTTATAAGAAAATTATGAACCATTAAAAAATCTTCTCAGAGTTCAGATTGCTCAATAAACTGAATACTCATCTATTTTAAACACACATCAAATCTGAGTCTGCTTTGCCTTTTTCCCTTGCTCATTGGTTCTGCACTCACCCATGTCCTCATCTTCACCATTGTTCTTTCCATGGGAAACACATTCATCTTCATCAGAAAGAGCCTCATCTTTAATCTAGTATAAATTGGTCATTAAAAGAAAGTAGTTAGCTAATTAACATTACTACTAACACCTTCAAAAACCTGTAGAGACTAAAAAAAGCAAAGCTCCAAAACACAGAGAAAAAAAATGTCAAAGTTATCAGTCTTGGAAACTTTACAAGACCCTTTTTGGTGGCTGGGTGCTGGTGTGGGGCTGACAGAATTAGAATACAAGAAAAGCCAAGCTTATCTTAAGTTTTAGAGTCTACCTCTTTTCATACGCATTAAGTAGAGATAGTTGATAAGAAGACAAAGAATTGAAATGTAAGTAAATATTAAGAGATTGACTATGCAGTACAGAGAAGCAGTAAAGAGAGATAATATTCCCTTGGAGAAGGCACATGAAAATATTAGCATTTGCAGTTTTCTTTCGGGAGGGAAAATGGCCAGGTTTCTTGGGAAAAATATGATTTGATTCTAATCCATTCCATAAAAATGGAGCTTTGCTATTTGGAATTTAATAAGAAAACCTGAACAATGAACATGGAATGGTGTGGAGTCACATTTGCCAGATGCTCAAAGCACCAGGAAATACCTCTCTACCTATGGTATGTTGATTTTTCAAAGGCAGCCAATTATTTGAAGAACTGGCAGTTGATGTTATCATGGAAATAATTTATCAAAATCACAAGCTATGCTGATTCTATTTCTCATGTTAATGACAGACCTTGATTTCTAAGTTAAAGAAATGAGCCCTCTGAGTTCACAAGTAAAACCTTCAGGAATATGAGCCAGTGGGTCACTAGGAGAGATTTCACCTCAAGGCTGAGAGGAGCCCAGGATAACTGACTTCTCCTACGCATCACTCCATTCTGTAACTTGATTTTCATTTCCGAATTCATTGTTAAGAGTTGAAGTGGGAGATGAAAGGGAAATTGATAAAATAAAGTGCTCTGTATGAAAGAGATGGCTTTTATAAGAAGGTTTCAAAATGCACACATATCACCAGGGCACAGTGCTTGAGGAACAGACCCAGGTGAAACTTTTATGAAGCTGTCCACCAACGGCTCCAGGACAGTCGGGTAAGGGGGATGGGGACTGCTGATCTCTCCTACTAGCACACTTGTGAGTTAGCTCTTGTAGAAGTGACCTCCAGTTACCACTTTCCGTTCTCTGCCTTCAGCCAGCACTTTCTTTTCGGCCTCCAGCTGGTCTAGGATGGTTTTCTGCAGCAGTGGGGCATTTGCTCCTCTAACCACAGCCACCAGTTCTCCTCCCTAGAATATGTTACAAACAGCATGAAATACTCTTGGCAAATATTAATCTCTTTCAAGAGATGGCGAGAGTGTCTAGGAGTGTGTGTGCCCAAGATCAAGGTTCCTCAACCCCAGGCTCATAGCAGTGTGCTCACTTCTGCTGCCCTCCCTTGGCAGGACGCTCTGAGGTCTGCTTCTAGGATTTTTGTTTGTTTGAGATGGAGTCTCGCTCTGTTGCCCAGGCTGGGGTGCAGTGGCGCGATCTTGACTCACTGCAAGCTCCGCCTCCCAGATTCACGCCATTCTCCTGCCTCAGCTTCCCAAATAGCTGGGACTACAGGCACCCGCCACCATGCCCAGCTAATTTTTTTTGTATTTTTAGTAGAGACGGGGTTTCACAGTATTAGCCAGGATGGTCTTGATCTCCTGACCTCGTGATGCGCCCATCTTGGCCTCCCAAAGTGCTGAGATTACAGGCGTGAGCCACCGCGCCCAGCCGGTCTGCTCCTAGTTTTAAATGATTTCTCTTTTTCTGATCTCTACCTTCATGCCACTCCTTTCAAAGCTTCCTTCAGGGTAACCAGCAGTTCATTAAGGGAGGAACAGTACATAGTAAGTTAGGAGTGACTAAGTGTGGCTTACACATGACTTACTCATTCAACAAATATTATTGAGCACTTACTATACCAAGCACCAAGGCAGAGGCAAAGAATATAAACATTAAACATGAAAAAACATAACTGCAGCCTTCATGAATGGGGACTAGAATGGGGAGAGGGATGACTGGACATGCCGAAGAAACAATTACAATACTATAAAATAATTGCTGTAAGTAATACGGAAATTTATAAGTGCTTGGAACTTGGGGCAAGAATTGCCAGCATCATCTGAGATGGTCAGGGAAGGCTTCACAGTCGAGGTGGTATTTGGGATGAACCTGAGTTTCTGCTTTAACTCTTTCAAAAGTCTGTTTGTTTGTTTGTTTGTTTGATGGAGTTTCGCTCTTGTTGCCCAGACTGGAGTTCAATGGCATGATCTCGGCTGACTGCAACCTCTGCCTCCTGGGTTCAAGTGATTCTCCTGCCTCAGCCTCCTAAGTAGCTGGGATTACAGGCACCTGCCACCAGGCTGGCTAATTTTTGTATTTTTAGCAGAGATGGTGTTTCACCATGTTGGCCAGGCTGATCTCAAACTCCTGACCTCAGGTGATCTGCCTGCCTCGGCCTCCCAAAGTGCTGGGATTACAGGTGTGAGCCACCGCGCCTGGCCAAAAGTCTCTACGTTTGTACTCACAAAGAAATGAATCTGGAGAGGGAGAAGTTCACATAGAGTGGGTCCTCCTTCCATTTCCATCCCATCCCTTAATGGACCACCATGGGGTTGAAGATTGTGGCCCATGTTCCCATACAAGCCAAGTAAGATTTATGCTTTAATTGCTATGGGCTCAGGCAATTAAGCCATTGTGGTCGCATTTCTGCAGCTGAGCTCTGATGTCAAGCGTGTCTGGGGCACGCTCATCTCCGAGCTCCTCCCTGCTTCTCCCTCTTTTCCTCCCAATCATGTTATGTCATGTAAGTTCAGTCTCCCTACTAAAATCCAAAGCTCAAATAATGTTTTATCATAAGTTTCCAATTTGTAATACTTGCAGTGCTGAGGCCAGGAGGCTGAAGTTTTCAAAATTGAACAACCCTAGCCTGGTGTTCGGAGACCTGGTTGAGTAGATCCTGGTATTCCTGACTCTACAATGAGGGGGCTGGTCTGAGTGAGGAGGAATATCGATCCATTGCCATCAGAGCCTGGCAGGTGGCCTAAACCTGGGAAGCCAAGTGTGAAACAGTGGGCCCTTAGGGGCATGGAGCTGGACCATGGATGTCACACCCAAGGACATCCAAATTATATTTTCAAAACACTGGGCCACTTGACTTTCCTCAATAGTCCCTCTCATTTCTAACTTTCTGTAAACATATCTTCACATTTTATGATTACATAAGGGTGAATGAAGAGCTTGTCTGCCCCATAAAGGAGTATCTATTTTTACTAAAAAGTCCCCTTTATGGAGCAAAGGATAGAAATCTTGAAACCCTGTGCTCTAAGAGTGAAGCCTCCAGTCTAGAGCATTCATGGGCCAAAAAGGAGCATGTACATTTGAGTGACTGGTACTCTCTTCCCGTGTACAGCAAGTCAGGAAGGCTGCCCCAGCACCGTGGCCACCAGGGTGCTGTGTCATTCACCTCCTTGGGCGCAGGGCCCTCAGGCCACCATCCTAGTCAACAGCTTGTATCACCACTTCGACTTGGGGGTGGGGGTGTCTGTATGTAGCCAACATCATAAAAAAAGACTGGGAGGCATCAGAGAAAACAGCATCACTTGTTTGAATCTGTGAGGCCTCTTGGTGGTTCCCATTAATTCTCCCAAAGATAGTTAATGTCAGCGAGATGCTTCTATTTTGAACACTAATGATGTGCAATTGTCAAATAGTTCTGGTTCTGAAAATGTACTTACTGCATAAAACAGAAAGGTGGGCTCGCACTTCCCTCGGTACTTTTCGAGGACATCAAGACGATCTGCCTCTGCCTAAAGAAAACCACTATCAGCAGCTACCCTGGGTGCAGGGGGTGCAGGGCCCGACTGATCGGTGGGAAACCACACAGGGAACTGAACACCCCCAGGACTGACTTCCCCAGGTGGAGCCCCGATTTGCTCTCATGCTGTTCCTGCTAATCAGAGCTGTCCTATAAAATTGCAGACATGTACTCTCTTGAAGAATCAAATGAGGAGGAAGCAAGAGTATCTCCTGCCCCACCCAGCTACTGTACCAGTCCAAGGGAGCGCTACTGGCTAATGTCCTTCTGCAGCCATGATTGACAACCGAGGTGAAGGTCCTCAGGCACCGACTTCATTGTCTGAGAAACCTGCTACACATGGGCATAAGAGATCCCCCACGCAAGCCCTTCTACAGCACACTCCCTATGGAAGCACCAAGACTGACTGCCAAAGGAAGAACTGCAAAGTCCCTGAAGTCCAACTTCTTGAGTGATTAGTGTAAGTTATATTTTCTCCTGTCTTCACTGCCTATGAACCTCAAACCCATGCAGCATATCAACAGTGTCTCTTGAATACTTCTCTAGAATTTATTCCCATTTCCATACATTCATCCAAATAAATATTTACTGTAAGTTCCCCTTTATGGAGCAGAGGATGGAAATCTGAAAGTGACATTTCAGTCAACAGTGTTCACAAGCCAAGAAGGAGATGCGGCTGGGGTGGTGGCTCACACCTGTACTCCCAATACTTTGGGATGCTGTGGTGGGAGGATTGCTTGAGCCCGGGAGTTCTAGACCAGCCTGGGTGATATAGTGAGACCTTGCCTCTACAAAAAGTTAAAAAATTAGTGAAGCATGGTGGCATGTGCCTATATAGTCCCAACTAGTTGGGAAGCTGAGGTGGGAGGATCATTTGAGGCTGGGAGGCAAAGGCTGCAGTGGGCCATGATCCCACCACTGCACTCCAGCCTGGGTGACAGGAGAAAGAAAAAAGAAGAGGGAGAGTATGCATTTGAGTGATATATATTTCTTCTCTTTATATAGCACCAAGAACTGCTCAAGCCAAGAGTGATACAGGGAGGTGGGGTGGGGAATAGGAACCTTCATAGCTAGAGAAATTAGAAAGTATCATGACAGTATCAACAAAAAGTCCACACTGATTCCTTTTTAATGATCTGGGAAAGGCCACTCTCACACTTCTCCTTCCTGACTCTTTTAAATTTTTAAATTCTTTTTACAATGTTGTATGACTGTTGGATGAGAGAGAATCTTACTAATGCAAAGTGCAGAAGGTCCAGGCCGACCTCGATCCTCATCTTCTGGAAGAGGCTCACCACAGGTTTGCAGGGGCCACACCAGCCTTGATAGACATCAACAACTGTGTGGAACCAAGAAGCAGGAACATTCAGTAGACACCAGCGCCCACTACACCAGGCACAATTTATACCTGTGCATTCTAACCTCCCGCAAATGGACATTCATTTGCAGGGATATCTAATGGTTAAAGGGATTTACTGTCTCATGAGATTATAAGCAAGTATGGAAACACAGCTAGCCCTCATTCTTATGAACTTGGTATACTGAATTCTAAATACAGTATAAGTATAGCAGAAAATCATTTTCTTAACATGGCTCCTTTATCTTAAGGGTTCTTCAGGCTACATTCAGGGTTAGGCCTAACACAGGGTGGCCCTCAATGATATTGGAATTAGACTGAAACTGTCTATTCTAAAAAGGAGAGGTCACTCACTGTAGGTGACCCAGCAGCACACAATTGACTTTTATGTAATCCTTGGATAATAAACACAGGTTTGACCTTTTCTTCTGATGAATTAAAAGCCACTTTCTTTGGGTGGAGCAGAGTTTTATTTACTTTAGAAAAATCAACATTTTTCTCCCAGAAAGTGAGCCTGATAGAGAGCTAGAGAGAAACTTGGATACCTTTTTCTTCTTTAGTCCCAATCTATAGTACATGTCAGGGCTGGATGTAGGGGAACCCTCTCATCTGAGTGTTGTGAACCACGCGATCTACAGGAAGCTAAGCAAACCAAGCCAACTCCCGTGTACTGGATTTGTGCAGGACCTGCCCCACACGACCATGAAGCGGCAGCAAGGGCTAGATGGTGACATACCAGTGGCCATATTTTAGAGGAGGGATATCTGCCAAAAGGCTTCAACACTCCCAGAGTTCATGCCTGTTCCACACAGGTGAGCATTTCGGTTCAACCGCTAGAGTAGCATAGTCACAGGGAGATCGTGTCAAAATTGCTAATAATTGATTAACTCTGTCCATTTTAATAGCATGCAATTTGTGATTTTACTTATCACAGATTCACATTTCAAAATTTTCCCATCAAGTGAGAACTATTAATATAATACAATACAAATTGTCATGACTAAAGTTAGTATAGAGACTGGTGGCACTGTACTAACACTGTTCTGTACTCACCAGGCTTCCCATGAAGAGGTGACTTGCACTGGGCATTGTAGAGAGCCCAGGCTTGGATGGGCAGAGAGGGAGACTGTGGTGCAAAGGATGGGCAGCCAGGCATAGGTGGCAGACTCAGGGACCCCTGGGCAGCCTGCTGGACCAGACCTGCCTGAGGTGGTGTGGTAGGAAATGGTGGCAGGGATCACTGGAGGAATCTGGAATGTGGGGCTTGAGGAGCTCTATCCTGAATCACTAGGCAACGAGGATTCACAGTAAGTATTAGAGAGAAGAGGGAGCTAATATCTTGGACTTGCCTGCATCCAGAATTGTAAGAAATAAATTTCTGTTCTTTATATACTACATATCTGTAGTGTCCTGTTACAGTAGCATAAACAGACTAAGCTATTCTGCTTTAGCTGCAAGAGGGCAGGTGCACTTTGCTTTTCTCTAAAAAGCCCAGTGAGATGGATATCATTATTGCACTATCGAGATGAGGAAACTGAAGTTCAAAGAGGTGAAGTCATGGACCTAAGGTAAGAAAGCAAATTCTCAAGCAGTATAGCTTAGTCCATTTATGCTGCTGTAACGGGACACTACAGACTGGGGCAGTTTATAATGAAAAGAAACTTATTTCTCATAGTTCTGGAGGCTGGCAAGTACAAGATCAAGGTGCCAGCAGGTTTGGTTGTCAGATAAGGGCTGCATCCCTCTGGAGGAGAATTATACTGTGTCCTCACATGACGGAAGTCAAGGGCAAGAGGAATAAACTCCTTCCATCATGCCCTTTTATAAGGGCACTTAATGCCACTCATGAGGGGCACTACTCCCCTTTTAAAGGCCCCACCTCTTAAAACCATTACTTTTGACATTCAGTTTCAACACTGAATTTTGAAGGGGGACACATTTAAACCACAGTACAGCAGAATCAAGTTTTATTTTATTTTATTTTATTTTATTTTATTTTTGAGACGGAGTCTGGCTCTGTTGCCTAGGCTGGAGTGCAGTGGCCGGATCTCAGCTCACTGCAAGCTCCGCCTCCTGGGTTTACGCCCTTCTCCTGCCTCAGCCTCCTGAGTAGCTGGGACTACATTAGCTGGGACTACAGGCGCCCGCCACCTCGCCCGCCTAGTTTTTTGTATTTTTTAGTAGAGACGGAGTTTCACCGTGTTAGCCAGGATGGTCTCGATCTCCTGACCTCGTGATCCTCCCGTCTCGGCCTCCCAAAGTGCTGGGATTACAGGCTTGAGCCACCTCGCCCGGCCAGAATCAAGTTTTAAATCCTGTGTTGCCTGATGCCATAGCCCATGCTCTTTCAACTGCTCCAGGGAAGAAGCAAGATGCATAAATTCAGCAGTGTTCATTGGTTCAGCCAAGTAGCACAATTTTGCGGAATGTGAGAACCCAAGCTGGGTATAGGAGGAATGAGGAAGCCAGACACACGGGTGGCAGAGGGGATAGAATGAAAAGAATGTAGGCAGAATACTAGGGATGAAAATGAAGACGGTGTGGAAAGGACTTCACCTTTGAGCCTGGCAGAGAAAAAGAACTAGCGAGGGGTGGGGAGAGATTGTTGGAGGGGAAAGGAGAACAAACTCAACTCTAACCAGGCTGGGTTTTCAGTACCAACCAGAAAATCTAAGACAAGTGATCACAAAGGCAACCAGACATCCAAGCAGGAGAGTGGGATTTGGGTTCCACAGCATCCAGGTAGAGGATAAAGTTCTGGGCTTTCCTGAAGACAAGAGTTTCACAATTGACCGATTTTAATTTATTTTTTTATTTCAGCCTACTACAGTTATGTGGGTGAGGGCCAAAAAGGGCATCTGGGTCAAGCCAGGAAAATGTCCCTGAAGACTTAGAGGGCCCTGTACACAGGCCCACTGAAAAGGGCAGATTTAAATCCCAAAGGAAAAAAGCTGGGGCTCAACTCTCTGTGCTGTATTTGTATTGATAGTGCACCTGCCATTGCTACTAGCTTCTCCCTCCCTCTTGGATGCCCTGGCTCTGTGAGGAGTGGCGGGCACAAAGGCACCTTCACAAAGTTATGGAGGAAGCGGGGATGGGGGGAGGGGGGAGGAAGGAACAGAGAGGAAGTGTTTGATTTGACTCTGAGTGAGAGGAAGCAAAACAGAGAAGCCACATGGAAGGAATGGCAGAGACAAGAAAATGTGTGTGTGTGTGTGTGTATGTGTGCGTCTGTGCATGCATGTGTAGGTCTGAAGGGACTTTGGCATGTTGAAAGCAGGTGAAAATGAGCCAGCAGAAGGCAAGGTTTCCAAGATGCTGGTGGTTTACTTTGGAAGCAAATTTCTGCTGGCTGGAGAGAGAGAGAGAAAAACACATATCTATGTATTTATATGCTCCATATCTATATATTCCTCTAGACTGCCTGATGAGAAGGAGCAAAGAGGAGGTCCTGCTACCTTCAGTCAACAGAGGCCCTTGAACCATTTAGACCAGGCTTGGCAGAGGGTCAGTGCTCACTGGATGTTAGCTACTGTCACATAGGGTGCTTAGCAAGGTGGCTGGCACACGATACATTCTCAAAAAATTAAGGAATGGGGGTTTTTTCACAGCTGTTAAAGAAATGGAAATAATGATTTGTTTCACCTGGAGTCATGTTCCAGTTGCCCAGACAAGACACATGGACAAATGGTTAAGCCTTGGCACCATCAAAAACACTTCATAATCCCTCAAACAGTAGAGTGTTTGAGGGATCATACTCACACCCCACAACTGAATCAGCATTTATCTAGTACCCACTCAGCCTCAGTCCCAGGCAAGTCTGCTACAGATGTGAGATTAAAAAGCCAATGCTGGCCGGGCGTGGTGGCTCACACCTTAATCCCAGCACTTTGGGAGGCCGGGGTGGGCAGATCATTTGAGGTCAGGAGTTGGCCATCAGCCTGGCCAAGACGGTGAAACCCTGTCTCTACTGAAAATATAAAAATTAGCTGGGTGTGATAGAATGTGCCTGTAATCCCATCTACTTGGGAGGCTGAGGCAGAAGAATCACTGGAACCCCAGAGACGGAGGTTGCAGTGAGCCAAGATTGCACCACTGCACTTCAGCCTGGGTGACTCAGTCTCAAAAAAAGAAAGAAAAAGCCAATGCCGTTGTGTTTAGAGTCTAGGAGAAAAGCCATGATGGTCTCTCCCTACAGGGCCACAGCAAGTGGGGTGTGTGCTGGAGGGATTGAGACAGAGACTCACCCCACGTGCCCTAGGAGCTCCCAGGAGGGACGTGACCACACAGAGGTTCCAGAAAGATTTCATATGAGGAAGGTAATTTTGCACTGGGTCGGGGAATAAGAAAGATTTCTACAGTTGGTGATAGGCCATGATATCCCATCTGGCTTGAATGGGCTTAAATGCTGATGTCATTTGGTGGAGGGGGTGGTAATGGGCAAGGCTAAGATCAGATACAAGCACACTGAGCAGGTATATTCACAGAAAAACTGAGCAGGCACACAGAGAGTAATAGAGCACAGAGATATCTGCAGTGAATGAGAACGAGAAGTAAAGAGTGGGTGACAGCAGGTGGTAGGCAGCCTCTCAGATGTCTCTAACGATCCCCACCTTCTGGTCCTCATGTACTTGTGTAATCCCCTGCCCTGGAGTGTGGGCTGGACCTAGTGACCAGCTTCTAATGAGCAGAGTATGGCAAAAGCAATGGGATATCACTCTCAAGATTAGGCTAACAAAAGGCTGTGACTTCCAACTTGTACCCTCTCTTAGAGCTCTGTCCTGGGGGAAGCAAGTTACCAGGTTGTGAGTAGCCTTATGGAGAAATCAATGGCAAGAAGTTAATGTCTCTGGCCAACAGCCAGTGAGGACTTGAATCCTTCCTACCAACAGCCTCATGAGTGAGCTTGGAAGTGGATCTTCTTAGGTCTGCCAGTAGCCACACAAAAGAGCTTGGAAGCAAATCTGCTCCTCGTTGAGCCTTGAGATCCCGTCTGACACCTTAACTACCATGGTGAGACACTGAGCCAGAGCTAGCCAACTAAGCTGTACCTGAACTCCTGACCCACAGAAACTGGGATAATCAATGTTTGTTGTTTTAAACCACTAAGTTTCTGGGTAAATTGCTAAGCAGCAACAAATAACTGGTGCCAGGAGGATGGGGATGAGGAGGCCCATAGACAGTGGCCTGCTGTTTCCTAATGACTGCAGTCCCAGGTTCAAGTCCCAGTGATGCCTGGCTCGCCTTCCATCCTTTGAGTTCCAAGAGATCCCTGTATTCCCTCCAATGCATTCTCCTTTAGTGCCTGAGGTAATTAGAGGAGGTTTCCTGTTACTTTTAACACCAAACAACCCTGAGTACTGACTCCTTTCCTGAACTGAATTTACTGATGTTCAAGCCACACACACACACACACACACACACACACACACACACACACACACATATCATCTGTTTTTTTATGAGGTTCAAGGTAATAGGAAAGTAATGTTCATTGCAGCCCTTTCCTTCATGGTTCATCACACCATTTAATAATTTAGAAAAGAATGGATCTAAAAAGTTATTTTACTTTGAATTACCAGTTAGTCCTTTGGAACTGAGCATTTCCTCCCAAAGCTCTTGGGTGCTGATGTTGACCTAAAGCCAAAGAGGATCAAATGCTGTATTACTGAGGGCTCAGGCAGGGAAACAATTCCATCTATTTGCTCTAGATTTCTATCTTTCTATCTCTGAAATACTTACAAGTACAGTTCAAGTTATCCTCTCCCCCGTCTTCTTTTCTCCTTCCTTTTCTCACTCCTTCCCTACCCAGAAAAAAACACTATCCTAAGAATAATGTGTACTAGTCTCGGGCATTTAAAAAATAATTTTACATGTTATTTGTCCAGGAACAATATATAAGTTGTTTTTGTGCCCTTAAAATGTACATAAATGTATCAAACTGTAGGTCTCATTTTGAAATTTGTGTTTTCACTTAGTATCAGAATTAAGTTGAATTTATTGCCATTCACTCACATTTTTTTTCTTATCCACAGAGTTCTGGTTTTATAAATATAAAATACAAGGAAAAATACATATTATCCCTCTTCATTAACGTAAAAATTTCTTTTTTTTTTTTTTTTTTTGAGATGGAGTCTGGCTCTGTCACCCAGGCTGGAGTGCAGAGGCTCAATCTCAGCTCACTGCAACCTCTGCCTCCCAGGTTCAAGCGATTCTTATGCTTCAGCCTCCTGAGTAGCTGGGATTACAGGCACGTACCACCACACCTGGCCATTTTTGTATTTTTAGTTGAGACCGGGTTGGACCATGTTGTCCAGGCTGGTCTCAAACTCCTGACCTCAAGTGATCTGCCCACCTCAGCCTCCCAAAGTGCTGGGATTACAGGCATGAGCCACAATGTCTGGCCAATAGTAAACATTTCTGTACAGTGTTTTTTACTGTGAAATAATTTCAAACTTACAGAAAGTGTGCAAGTACAGTATAAAGATTTAGGGTTTTTTTTTTTTAGGTATTTGGAAGTAAATTACAGCTTGTTATCTCATTACTCCTGAATATATTATTCCTATGTAACACAATACAATAATCAAAATCAGGGGAAAAAAACACTGACATATTGTGAACATTTAATCCTTAGATAGAGTACAACTTTTCCTGTTTATCCCATAATGTCCTGAGTAGCAAAGGAGCTAATCAGAAACGTGTGCTAGATTTATTTGTCAAGTCTCTTTAGTCTGGAATAGTTCTTTAGTCTTTCTCTTCTTTTCACAATGTTGACACTTTGGAAAATGACATGCCAGGTATTTTGTAGAGTGTCCCTCAGTTGGGGCATATGTGATGTTTCCTCCTGATTGGATTCAGGCTGTGCATGTTTGGACTGGTTGAAATTGGCTGGACTGGTTGGAGTGTTGGAGAAGCTGAAGATCATTCCTCTCACTACTCCCTAGCAGGTGAGACACAATTTCCATCTGCCTATTACTGATGTTCACTTTGATCACTGGATTAACATGGTCTGCCAGGCCTATTGTCTGTAAAATTATTCCCTTTTTCTTTGTAATTAACATATTTTTGTGGTGAGCTACTTTGAAATGATATAAATTAAAAGACCACACAAATTACTACTGGGTTTTTTTGTTTGTTTTTTGAGATGGAGTCTCACTCTGTCATCCAGGCTGGAGTGCAGTGGCATGATCATGGCTCACTGCAACCTCTGCCTCCTGGGTTCAAGCGATTCTCCTGCCTCAGCCTCCCAAGTAGCTGGGATTATAGGTGCCCGCTACCACACCCGGCTAATTTTTTATATGTTTAGTAGAGACAGGGTTTCACCATGTTGGCCAGGCTGGTTGTGAACTCCTGACCTCAAGAGATCCGCCTGCCTCGGCCTTCCAAAGTGCTGGGATTACAGGCATGAGCCAGCACGCCTGGCCTACTATTGTTCTTGATACAGGTATGCCAAGGTCTATGTCCCTTTAAAAAAGATAGGATGCATTATTGGCAATAAGGGCAAGAAACATGTAACACCTGCTAATCCTCTATTAAAAGCCCCTTTTTTGGCCGAACGTGGTGGCTCATGCCTGTAGTCCCAACACTTTGGGAAGCCAGAAGTTTGAGACCTGCCTGGCCAACATGGTGAAACCCTGCCTCTACTAAAAAAAAAAAAAAATACAAAAGTTGGCCGGGCGTGGTGGCGCATACCTGTTTTCCCAGCTACTCAGGAGGCTGAGACATGAGAATTGGTGAACCTGGGAGGTGGAGGTTGAAGTGCGATGAGATCGTGCCACTGCATTCCAGCCTGGGCGACAGGACAGAATGAGACTGTCTCAAAAAAAAAAAAAAAAAAAAAAGAGAAAGTCTCTCTTTTAAGGAAGCACACTCCTTACTTTTCTTGTTTCAGTGAAAAGTACAAGAAAAACCCAGAAGAGTCTTCCTGATGCCTTAAATGAAGTAAGAGAGCTGAACTGATATAACCTTGGGCCCACAACTACAGTCCTGAGGAAAGTGATAGAAGCGTTCAGAAGGACCCCCTGCCCCTACCCAGAGGCTCAGACTTAAGTCACCAGCAACTCTCTGTGGCCCACCCCTGTCACGGAGTGAGTCCCACCAGCTCTGGGGCCAGGACTCTGGGCAGTTGAAGAATCTCAGCCCTGGGAGCCAGGCAAGAGCGGAACGGTGTGGGAACTATCCGGACTTCACTAAGCCTTGCATTTGGTAGGGAATGAATAGGGAATGTGTGGCACCTTTTACCCAGACTGTCCCTTGATGTCCTGTGATTTCTGTCTGTCTCCGTTATAAACGGAACCCCGAATAACCTTGCTGAGAGAGAGGACAAGGTTCCTGGGTTGGCCGACTTTAGGCACGGCTTTCAAGGGGTTTACCTTATAGAGAGGTGACCTTTACACAGATGCCTCAGTGTAAGAGGGGAGGGAGGCCACTCCCTCAGCAGGAGGGAGCACTTACTTTGAGTACTGCATTGTACTCAGAGCTCTGAGTAATACACAGGAAAAAATAACAACATTGCTAACAAAAGTTATTACCGCCATAGGAGATCTAGGGCATCAACACATGAAATGACCATAATAAGGGGCAATAACATTAGAGACACCACAGACCGCATCAGACCAGCCAGGAAGTGTCTAAAGGAGTCTCATCACAGCTGTGCAGGCGTTAAAGGACAGGTATTATCCCTCCTGTCTATGTAAAAGATACGGAGGCCAGAGGGTTGAGGAAATGAGTCACACAGCTATGAATGGTAGGACCAGTTGCTCAGAATTTACTTCAACCAGAACATTCATATATGAAGCGCTTTCTGACTCTAGAATCCTAGAATATCAAGGCTGGAAGAAGGCCCTTAGGGATAATTCACACAACATCCTTATTCCATAGATGGGCAAGCTATGGCCCAGAGAGGGTATGTGATGTAGTCAAAGACACAGTTGGCTATAGAGGACACAAGAACTACATCAGGCCTTCTGACTTCCAGTCTAAAACTCCCACCCCACCCCCCACCTCTCCCACCCCCAGCATGGGGTACCGTTAGAATGATGCTGCTTTCCCCTTTCCTCTTTTTTAAACCACTAGACTTTTGAAATCCACATGCAAACTGTCCTACCGAGGACAATGAGAGAAAAACCAGATGTCTCAAAATCGCTAAAGCTCTATTATCTAGGAGGCGCTGTAGCCTTAGTATGCATCTCACTGGGACCAGCTGATGATGAGACATTTTAAAGTTTGTTTTAAAATGTTCCCGTGTTACAGATCATCCAGATGATCTCCTTATGACAAAGCACTCTCTCCCAATTCCAGGGTCTATTCCTGCATGCTTTTACCATCACTTCAGAATCAACCACTGTTTATTGTCCAGAACCAAGAAAAAGAGCAGTTGCTGGCTTCTGAATTCACTTGTCCCACATGCAAATGAAGTAAGGTACTCTATATAACAAATGCCCAGCACATAATATATCTCAAAACGTATTTGTTAATAAGTGAAATTTGATGAGAACAGTGGTGGGAAAACTGGGTCTCCACAGAGCACACAGTTACAGACTCATGCCCAAAGTCAAAAGAACCTATACTGTATTCTCTGTGCAAGCTGCAGTCATATTTCAACAGTAACAAAATAACGGTCACATCGAATTATGTTGATTCATATTTTCTTGGTTTGTAGTTTTATTTAATGCATGTTTAGGTTTTATGGTTGTATACGCACTATAAATATAAACAGCTTCTACTCAGTTTTGTTTGCATTAATTTTGTTTGCATAAAATTTGTCATCACTGGGGTTCCAAGATAAGTTTTGGCCCTTTAAGACAGAAGGGTACATCACTCAAGTTTGGGAACACTGTCACATACTGCTAGCAAACAAAATGTCACTTTTATACTACAACCCCGCTCCAATCACCCTCGTCTTCCCCGAGCCCAACCCAGAGCTGGAAGCTAGCGCCCCTTGAGGCTTACCTGCAGGGCAATTTCCTTCTTCCTGCTGCCCATGGCTCTGCAAAGAAGACGAAGCCCTGTTACCGCGGCCGTGGGCCGTTCCCCCGCAGCCTCGCGACAAACCGCTGCGTGGATCAGCAAGCCCAGAGCCTCCTTCAGATAAGCCCCCCTCCTATGGCCCCCGGCCCCTTTTTAAGATGCTTCTAACTGGCGGCAAATCAACACACTGACACAAAGTGAACACCCCACGAGGAAGCGGAGCCTGCAGTCCGCGGGCTCGTGGCTCGCCGGGCGGTTTTCTGGGGATCTGCAAAGCCCCCTTCCCACCCCGGAGCCGGCCAGGGGGCTCCAGCAGAGGCCGGAGTCAGTGCGCGGGGCACAGTGCAGCCTGCCGGGCACGGGTCTCCAGTCGAGGAATTCAAACCAAAAACCGACATGGGACCCTGTCATCCCTGCTGTTCTTATGGATTACTGGGAAACTGAGCCACTGCGAACGACAGGTACACGATCTTCGACGCGCCCGGAGTCACCAACCGAGTCTGCAGCGACCTAGCCGCGGTCGTCATGGCAACCTGGCCCCCCTGCCAGGCCTGCCAGGAAAGCCGGCGGACACGTAAGCCACGCCCACTCTGGGCCCAACGCAGTCTCTTCGCGGAGACTCTGAACCCAGCCAGCGAGAGGCAGGAGGGAGTCCCGCCCCTTGCCCTCCATATCGGACTATGGGAACCCACTCATTGGCTGCAGCGTTTGTCAGCGTCTGGAGGCTTTGAACCCACCAGGCAAAGACCCAGTGCATCTGTGCGTTGCACAGTCGCATCTGTGAATCCCTGCGTCCCTCCTGCCCCGCCTGCCAAGACTGCTGTGCAGCTTTTCTACCGTCACATACCGGTAAAATGTGTGCAAGGTAGGGGGCGTCTCCAGATTTTAAGGGGTCTGCAAGCGTTCTCTTTAAGACAAAGAATATGAAATTACAAATTCAAAATTAGATATGAAAGTCAACTGAGACACATACAAAACAGTTACAAACATTGTAGATATTAATCCAACTCTATCAATAACCACTTTAAATGTGAATAACCTGATTACACCAATTAAAAGAGAGATTGTCAGAGTGGATTTCAAAAACAAACAAAGCCCAGTTGTGTGTTATCCACAAGAAAATACATTAAAAGCAAAAAAATAGAGATAGCTATACCAGGCTGACACTAACTAAAAAAATAGCTGAAGTAGCTATGTTAATTTCAAGAAAAGCAGACTTCAGAACAAGGAAATTTATCAAGTATAAACAGGGACATTACATAAAGGTAAAGGGATCAATTATTTGGGAAGACATAACAATACTTAACATGTATGTACTTAAAAACAGAGCACCGAAATATGTGAGGCAAAAAAAGATAAAACTGCAAGGAAAAATAGGTAAACTCACTATTATAAGAGAATATTTTAATACCATTTTTAAAATACCATTAAAATATTTTAATACCATTTTAATACATCCAGCAGGCAGCAAATGAGCAAGGATATAGTTGAACTGAAAAAATCAATCAAATTGATCTAATTGACATTTATACAATACTTAATTCAACAACAGCGGAATATAGATTCTTTCTCAAGCTCACATGGAACATTCACTGAGATAGACCACAATCTAGGCCATAAAACATAGCTTAACAAATTTAAAAGGATAGAACAAAGTATGTTCTCTGACTACAATGGAATTAAACTAGGAATCAATCACAGCTGATGAAAGAAATCTCGAAGATTTAAATAGATGAAGAAATATTCCATGTTCATGGATAGGAAGAATTCGTATTGTTAAGATATGAATTCTTCCCAAGTGAAGCATACACCAAATGATTTCCATCCAGGGAGTGCTGATACCCTGCTTAGCCATAAGGTACCCAGCAACCCTCTGTGAAGTACAGGGCGATGGATATACTGAAGACTGAACATCTTCCTACCTGTCATCCTGCCTTCTCCCACTTCAGCTCTGAATCCACCTACTCTTTTCTTGCATTCAGTCCCATGGCAATATTCAGTTCCATGATAATATTGCTCAGAGCCACAGTCACTCCTTAAGACACTGCATTGCAAACTGAGTTGACTAGATGCAAATCATGTTCATTGCCACAAGGTGGTGGTTGTTCAAGCTCTTGAATGTGTGGAATCTCCCTTAGAATTTAGTTTCCAAAATAAAATTCAAATCAGATGCTAAACTCCTCCTGCCAGTGCACGGAAAGATAGTGACATTTATTCTTTCTGAAAGGGTTAAATTTCTTACCATGTGGTCTCTATTACAAAATGTACTCACATCTTTGCTAGGCTTGACCTCAGAAACAAATTTAGGTAAACCACATGTCCCCAGTTTGCCGGGACACCCCCACTTTTCACCTGTTGTCCCCTGCAATTATTAATAGCAACCCCTCTCACTTTCAAAAGTGTATAGTTTGGGTTGGGTGCAGTAGCTCACGCCTGTAATCCCAGCACTCTGGGAGGCCGAGGCAGGTGTATCACTTGAGGTCAGGAGTTCGAGACCAGCCTGGCCAACATGGTGAAACCCTGTCTCTACTAAAAAAAATATCAAATAGCCGGGCATGGTGTTGTATGCCTATAATCCCAGCTACTTGGGAAGCTGAGGCAGGAGAATCGCTTGAACCCAGAACACGGAGGTTGCAGTGAGCCAAGATCGTGCCACTGCACTCCAGCCTGGGCGACAGAACAAGACTCCGTCTCAAAGAAAAAAAAATGTACAATTTGGACAACATGGAACTTCATCAGTTTTTTCCCAGATGAATCATCTTGGGTCACTCCTGCTTTTTAATAAAACTTCCATCTTTTACATGTTTTGTGACATAGGTCAATGGTTTTGTTTTGTTTTGTTTTGTTTTTTTTCTGTTTTATTTGTTGTTGTTGTTTTTTGAGACAGAGTCTCGCTCTGTCGCCTAGGCTGGAGTGTGGTGGCGCGATGGCTCGGCTCACTGCAACCTCTGCCTCCCGAGTTCAAGCAATTCTCCTGCCCCAGCCTCCCGAGTAGCTGGGACTACAGGCATGTGCCACTACGCATAGCTAATTTTTGTATTTTTAGTAGAGATGAGTTTTCACCATGTTGGTTGGCCAGAATGGTCTCTATCTCTTGACCTCATGATCCACCTGCCTCGGCCTCCCAAAGTGCTGGGATTACAGGCATGAGCCACCGCTCCCAGCTGGGTCAATGTTTTTATTTATTATCCAAAAGTCAGATTTTTTTCCAAAGGTATCTATTTTTAATCAGCCCTTCCCTCAGTGATGTACTTTTTTATTTTATTTTAATGCAAAACCTGCTAACTTTAAGGGCTACTGAGATGTTTTAGAGTTCGAAAGATTAAAAACCAAACTCTTCCTCCAGCAACTCATGTTTATTGCCACAAGGTGGTGGTTTACTCAAAGGAAACCCTTCTGAGACCCAAATTGGACACTAGGAGCATTTTCTTTATCAAAATACTTCAGAACTGATGTGACTCTGTAAAACAAGAATGACCCTTCTCACTTTAAGAGGAAATCATAAACCAAAGCAGGCTGTATTTCCTCAGATACCTTCCCATTTTTCATCGTAGAAGATAAGAATGTATATACACATCTTCGTCTAACCTGACTCCTCTCTCCTTCCGGGTGTAATGTCTTCTTTTTTCCACAAGTAACAGCAGGTCCCTCCTGTACCTTGCTCTGAGGAAGGCTGCCGGGAGTGGTAGAACTGGGAGCTTTAGGGTCAGACAGATGTGGGCTGGATCACAGGTACACCTACTACCTGTCTAAGCTTGGGTGAAGCTACTTCAGTTTATTCAGTCAGTCTTAGTTTCCTCATCTTTAATTTTTTTTTTTTTTTAAGAAATGGGGTCTTGTTACGTTGCCAGGTGCCTGGAACTCCTGTGTTCAAGCAGTCCTCCCACTTCAGCCTCCCAAGCAGCTGGGACTACAGGTGCCCACCACCATGCCCAGCTTGTTTCCTCATCTTTAAATAGGGAAATAAGACCTACCTTTTAGGAATGTTGTGGAGAGAGGTAATGTGTTTCAAAATTTCTTGACATTAAAACCAGTATTATTGTTGTTCTTGTAAAGGTATCATGCACCCTTTCCACAGTATAGAAACGTGTTGGGTAGCAGCTTCCCAGTCAAGGATCACAAGCCATAAGTCCCCAGGAGGTTCATCCAAGTTGTTGTGTGGATCAATATTTTAATTCCTTTTTATTACTTTGTATTCCATGGTCTCAGTAGATCACCGTTTGTTTCAAATTAATATTTGAGTGAGATATGAGGTTTTTTATTTCCCCATGCAGATTTCTGGTTGCATAAGCACCATTTGTTGAGAAGACTTTCCTTTTCTTCACTGGATTGATTTGATGTCTCTGTCAAAAACCAATTGGTCATATAAATGTGAGTTTCCTTCAGGATTCTCTAGTCCATTCCGCTGATCTAGTTGACCATCCTTATACCAGTACTTGATTACTAGTTGTATAGTAAGTCTCAAAATCAGGTAATCTAAGTCATCCAGCCTTGCTTTTCTTTTTCAAAATTTATTTGTCTATTTTAAGTTATTTATAAGTCTATTTTAAGTTATTTTAAGTTGTTTACTTTCATACAAATCCTAGAGTCAATCTGTTAATATGTCTTTAAAAATCCTTTTGGAAATTTAAATTGCATTAAACCTAAAGACTGACTTAGGAAGAATTGACATCTTAATAATGTGAAAGCTTTGGTTTCTTGAAGTCTTCCAGTCCATAAGCAGGATGTGTGTTCCATTTATTCTTTAACTTCAGCAATGTTTTATAGTTGTTGAACCAATCTTGCAAGTCATTTGTATTTATTAATGCTATTATTAATGAAATTGACTTTCAAAATTTATTACCAATTTTGCGCTGCCAGTACATAGAAATACACCTGATTTTTTTATATTGACTTTGTATTCTGAGATCTTGCTAAACTCACTTAATAGTGCTAGTAGTTTCTTTGTTGATTGTGAAGGTAACTGTGAAAACACAAGATAGTGAGCCATAAAATGGAAGCAGCCACTCTGAGCCTACCAACCTGCTTTGGACTGTGTTGCAGTTTCTTCATGTCGTAGTAGTCACTGAAGGTTACAATCAAACTGCTCATCTGCATTGTGAGTCCCTGTGGGGCAGGTTGTCCCTGCTACTTCCTAGTGAATCTTTTATAATGAACCTCAGGTTTCCGTCATGACCTGAACGAATGAGCCCTATGCTGCCCACCATTCATGCTTAGTGAGAAGTCAGAGGAGATGACAAGGAGACTTCTACATGTTGTAAAGGAATCTGACCATAGGTCCCTCCTGTTGACAGATGTTTCTCCATGAGTCTCTCATGTTTCTGCATATTTTTCAAGCAGAGGCACTGACTGCTTTCTTCCCAGCTACCTTTTCAGGAATGTTTATGTAGTGAACAACATTGAAAGATAGAGGTAGTACCTCCTTCTAAAGCAAAGGAAAGGTTTGTTTACAGCCTTGGAAGTTAGAGATAGTGTCTCCTTCTGTAGAAAGCAGACTTAACTCTTCAGTGTAAAAGCTTTGGTTTCTTGAAGCTAGGATTCTTCTCCTGTGACACAACCTGCTGCATGTGCAGGTGTCACCTGGCCCTCTCTGCATTGTCCTATGGGAATCAGTTCAGGAAACCTATGCAAAAATGCTAATACTTTGGTTATTGCTATTGCTTTGAATAATAAACTGTCCTTCATCTCTGACCCAGGAGCGACTTATATATTCTTTCACCATCACGATTATGAAAGAATAATTTGTAAGCTTGCAAGGAAGGTAAAATCTCAGATGATTTACAGTTCTTGACACCTCCCTAGAGGTAACAAACTTTGCCCTTGATTGTTCGGCTCCTAGAAAGCATGCTCTTCCAACCGCCCATTAGAACTCCTCGCCCATACACCTGAAACTTTCGAGGCAGAGCTAGATTTCAGTCAAGCTACAAAGACCTCATTATCAAGGACCACACTTCTCCAGTGTTTCACTTGAAGTTTCCTGAATGGCTGCCCTGGAGATTTGAGGGCTTAATGCTAAAAGGCCTTAAGCATTTAGAGATCTCTAAACATCACTAATATTTAACTCAAAGATTTGTGTGCATTTTGGAATACAACATACCCCATCCATATTTGTTTTAATGTAAAAATAACACTTTAAAATTCTAGCCA